AAAGGTCTGGATCAAAGGTGGATCTTCCCACTTCAAAGGATACAGATTAAAAGTCTTACTACTTCAAATGATTTAATTAAAAAAATCCCTCACATATGTACGCAGCCACTTGGGTTTTAGTTAATTATAGATATAGTCAAGTTGATGACCAAGAATAGCCACCAACACAGGTCTCTTATAACCTGTCCTCACCTCACCGCTGTGTAAGAGCTGGAGACGGAGCTCAGCAATTAGAGCTCACGCTGCTCTGTTGGAGACGGGAGCTGAATTCCCAGCACCCAGATCACGCCGTTTACAAACACTTCTAACAGCAACTTCATGGGATCTTATAACCCTCTTGGTCTCTGTGGGTACACATGTGTGCACACACCATAGATAAATCCCTTCTCCGTTAATATGAAGATGACCTTGAACATTTGGCCCTCCTGAGATTTGAGATAACAGGAGTGGGCCACCACCCCTGGTGTTTTCGGTGCTGGGGCTTGGAACCCTTCCTACATGATAGGCAAGTTTTCCACCAGCTGAAATTGTCCCCAGCTTCATAGGTTTTGAGGACAAATACTCACTAGTCTACCCTACAAAGTACTCACCAGGATGAGAGAGGTTCATGCAAAATGGTACCCTACCTAACAGGGGTGAGTACATAATTACAGTAAGAGACGGTGCTGGGATCTAACATCTGGGCAAAGGATGGTAAACCACCGGCTCCGGGAATCAGGAAGGTTTTTTTGAGAAGTGTTCTTTGTAGATCAGAGAGGTCTGAAAACTACAGCTTGCAACCTGCTGCCCGCTGTTGCCTTAAAACAACACAGTGGGCCAGGCAGTGGTGGTGCACACCTTTAATCCTGGCACTTGGGAGGCAGAGGCAGATGGATCTCTTGAGTTTGAGGCCAGCCTGGTCTACAGAGTAAGCTCCAAGACAGCCAGGACAACACAGAGAAACCCTGTCTCAAAAAACCAAAAACAATCCTCCCCCCCCAAAAAAAAACCACAGTGGAACACAGTCCTGCCCTCCTGTGGCTTGCACACGGGGCAAGCAGTTCTGCCACGATGGTACATTGTAGCCCTCTGTTGTTGCCTTGCGTCAGCAAAGCTGAGTCAAAAAGACTTAATGTTTTACTGAAAAAGCCAACCTATTCTCAAGTTGTAAGGTGGGAGACCTAGAAAAGAAGGGAATAAGACCGGTGGTTTGACATTTTTAATTCAGTTGGGTCAATGAGATGGTTCTGCAGACAAAGGTGTTTGCCACTGATGCAGGCCTGGGTTTGACCCCCAGAGCATAAAGATGGAAGGAGAAAAACAGTCCTCTGACATACACTTCATACACACATTAAACATTCAGAACATTTTTGTATTGCCACATAAACCCGTATCCAATGCGCATCTCTCTCATTTTCCCAAGAAAATATTGTTTAAAAAATGTGTGTATCACCAGGTGGTGGCAGCGGCGGCAGCGCATGCCTTTAATCCCGGCACTCGGGAGGCAGAGGCAGGTGGATCTTTGAGTTCAAGGCCAGCCTGATCTACAGAGTGAGATCCAGGAGAGGAGCAAAGTTACAGAGAAACCCTGTGGGGGGGGGGAATATCTGTTGTGGGTCTGGACAAGGGTGCAGGTGTCTGTAGGGGTCTGTGCACAGGTGTGTGTAGGGAGTCCTGTGCACAGGTGCAGGTGTGTGTGTGTGGGAGTCCTGTGCACAAGTGCAGGTGTGTGTGTGAGGGGGTCTGTGCACAGGTGCAGGTGTGTGTGTGTGGGAGTCCTGTGCACAGGTGCTGGTGTGTGTGAGGGGTCTGTGCACAGGTGCAGGTGTGTGTGTGTGTGTGTGTGTGCACAGGTGCAGGTGTGTGTGAGGGGTCTGTGCACAGGTGCAGGTGTGTGTGAGGGGTCTGTGCACAGATGCAGGTGTGTGAGGGGTCTGTGCACAGGTGCAGGTGTGTGTGAGGGGGTTTGTGCACAGATGCAGGTGTGTGTGAGGGGTCTGTGCACAGATGCAGGTGTGTGAGGGGTCTGTGCACAGGTGCAGGTGTGTGTGAGGGGTCTGTGCACAGGTGCAGGTGCGTGTGAGGGGTCTGTGCACAGGTGCAGGTGTGTGTGAGGGG